CAAACTACTGATCCCTGTAACACATTGATGAATCTATTAAACTAGCTAAATAAGTCTTATACAAAAGAATACATACAGCCCTGGTTGGCCTGGCTGGTGGTTAGAGTGTTGGCCCATGTACCGAGGGCTCCATTACCAGTCAAGGGCTTTGAACCTGGGTTGTAGGTTCAATCCCAGCCCCAGTTGAGGTATGTATAGGAAGCAACCAATCTATGTGTCTTTCTCACATCTGTGTTTCTCTCTCTCTCTCCTCTCTCTTTCTTCCCAGCCCCCTCCTCCCTTCCACTGAAAATCAGTGGGAAAATACCCTCAGGTGAGGATTAAGAAAATAATAATAATACAGTATTATTCCATTTTTGTGAAGTTCTAGAACAAGCAAAATTTATCTGGGAGGGATGGAGTCAAAAGAGTGGGATGGAGCAGGGAATGACTGGCAAGGATTATGAAGAAACTTCCTTTGGAGTGAGGTAATGGTTTGGGTTGCAAGCTATATGTATTTGTTAAAACTCATGGAATGGTATACTTAAGATTTGTGCATGCCATCTTATGTAAATTTCACTTAAAGGAATGAAAAGGAGCTTTAAAAAATATCACAAGAAGATACTGTTTTATATCCACAAGATTGGGAAAAGTGCTGGCAAGGATATGGAGCATCCTGCCTTCTCTTACCCTTGTTAAGAGATTGGATAAAAAAATATAAAAGAAATTGGATAAAAAATATAAAACAATTTGTCATTATGTAATAACTTTTATATATACCAACCCAGAAATTTCACTCTGAAACATAGCAACACTTGCAAATGTACACAGAGAAATATGCATGACAATGTTCCAGAACACTGGAAAGAATTCAGATATCCATCAACAAGAGAAGTCATAAATTGTGCTATACTCAAACATACCAGATTGGTGAATCTCATGAACATATAATAATATTCCCAATATGATTCCAACCAATATAATTCCACCCAAAATATTGCAAAAATAAACACTATATTAACTAGGAATATGTAGGATAAAGTAAAGCAAAGTGAAAAATTCAGGGTCATTGGAGGAAAGGCATGGCAAGGATTGGAAATGGAATGGGAAGAGCCATATAGGTAACTTCAAAGTTACTAGTAATGTTTTATTCCCTAAACTGGGTAGTGGGAATAAAGGTGTTCATTTTTTTTAAAAATTTTTTTAACTTACACATATGTTGTAATATTGTTTGGTATATATTCAGTACTTAATAATAATTTAATGGGAAACATTATACATTTTAAAAATTAGATAATCTTTAAGAATTCTTCATGTGCAACCATATGATATGCAAGACATAAGTTGGCTTTCTGATATCATTAATTAGGCCATTTATTCAAGTGTTATATCAAACGCCTGTACACAGCTTGATAGGGATGTGACATTGGTTAAGCTGTTATTTGGAGGCTACTTATTTGTTAGCTGTATCTTTAAAATGAATTAGAAAAACTGCTGAAATCTAAAATGGTTACGGTCTTATATAGGCCTCACTGCTAGTCCAGGGGGCTTCTGAATGCACACTTATGAATTAAAATGTCACTTGAACTGATCATTGACCAATTATTAAAGTACCTTTCATCAGGTCATGGAGTAGGTCTCCCACCATTTATTTTCTTGAAAGTTAGCTATAATAAAAATTTTTAGGTTCTGTGGCTAACACTTAGATATTACTGTTCTTCTGTTGTATCTTAAACATTTCAAAGTATTTACAGATTTTTTTATTTTAACATTTCTTGCAAAATTTGTGAACATTTTTCATTAAATCAACTTGTCAGAAAATAAAGGTTGAACTCTGTAGCTATATGTGGTCCTAAAGTTGTAGCTTAAAATTAAAAGGGCCTACCCCAACCTTTACTCTTTATAAGTATTCAAATATTCCTTTGGATGCCAGATAAGAAATTCATAGTGCTAGATATACAGCAAGATAACAATCTGGTTGCATATATGAAGTACTTAAATATACGCAGTTGCAATTCCAATGCCTTATTGCTTCATTTATCACAGGAAGTGCCAGAGTTTTGAAATATTTTGTAAGAAAAGCTACTCTACTTGCATCAATTCTCATGAGAACGACCAAGAATTTTATGCCAATTTAATCCTAAGTATTGAGGTTAGGATTCTAAATGACATTTAATAGTATGATTTATTTTCTTTTTTTAAAATATATTTTTATTAATTTTAGGGAGGAAGGAAGAGGGAGAGAGAAATAGAAGCATCAATGATGAGAGAGAATCATTGATTGGCTGCTTCCTGCACTCTCCCCACTGGGGATCGTGCCTGCAACCTGGGCATGTGCCCTTGACCTGAATCGAACCTGGGACCCTTTAGTCCGCAGGTCAAGGCTCTATCCACTGAACCAAACCGGCTAGGGCTTATTTTCTATCTTAAACTTTATAGGGCACAAAACAAGACCTTATCCTTTCATATTGCTTTTTATTTTTAAAGCATCCGAGTGGTGATAAAAATCTAAGCTTAAGAATGGTCAGATGATTTATGATATTTCATTTCTTTTTCAAAGGATTGGGATGTCACCAGTAAGCCTATTGGAATTGTAGGTTTAAAGTTTCTCAATTTTAAAAAAGACCAGCTGCATAAACAAGTGTGTTAGCTTTGTAATTTAATTCTATGTGTGTGTGTTTTTGTTTTTTTTTATACTTCAAAGTACCAAAGGATGCATTTATTCTTATGTCATAGATACTTGTTTATGTCACTGTGATCTCAAACTTTCAAGTACACTTCACAATCTTCTTAAAATATTAATATGTTGTTATTGTGTTTTTCAAAACCTCAAGACATTTCTCCTTTCGTCTACCTAAATCTGCCTTTCTTCATGGGTTGACCACCAACAAAGATGGAATGTGGATAAACTAGATGAAGACTACTTAAAAAACTGGTATCCTGCATTTAAGGATGGATAATATAATTATCCTTGAGAATGTGCCATAAGCACCTTAAAGCTATTTTCTATTAAACTTTTAAATTTGGGATAATTTTAAATCCACATGTAGTTATAAGAAATAATATGCATCTCATGTACCCTTTACAATTTTCCCCAAAACAAAGGCAACCAAAGCAAAAGTAAGCAAGTAGGACTACATCAAACTAAAAAGCTTCTGCATAGCAAAGGAAACCATCAACAAAATGAAAAGGCATCCTATGGATGGGAGAAAATATTTGCGAATCGAATATTCCAAAAGGAAATAATATCCAAAATAAACAAAGGACTCATACAACTCAATAGCAAAAAAAAACAAATAACTCAATTTAAAAATGGGCAAATGACCTGAATAAACTGTTTTTGAAAGAAGACATACAAATGACCAATAGAGCCCTAACCGGTTTGTCTCAGTGGATAGAGCATCGGCCTGCGGACTGAAAGGTCCCAGGTTCGATTCCGGTCACGGGCATGTACCTTGGTTGCCGGCACATCCCCAGTGGGGGATGTGCAGGAGGCAGCTGATCGATGTTTCTCTCTCATCGATGTTTCTAACTCTATCCCTCTCCCATCCGCTCTGTGAAAAATCAATAAAATATATTTTTAAAAAAACAAAAAACAAATGACCAATAGTCACATGAAACTAATAACTAATCATCAGGGAACTACAAATCAAAAGCACAGTGAGATATCACTCACACCTGTTAGGGTGGCTATTACAAAAAGACAAGATAACAAATGCTGGCAATGATGTGGATAAAAAGGAACCCTTGTACAAGGTTTGTGGGAATGTAAACTGGTATAGCCATTATGGAAAACTGTATGGGGATATCTCAAGATATTAAAAATAGAACTACCGTATGATCTAGCAATTCCACTCTGAGAATATATCCAAAGGAAATGAAACCATTATCTCAAAGACGAATCTGTACTCCCGTGTTCATTGCAGCATTATTCACAATAGCCAAGATATGGAAACAACCTAAGTGTTTACCAAGAAATGAATTTATCAAAAAAATATGGCATATGCAACAGATTGATGATTTCATAGGGAAGAGGGGATGGAAGTGGGGAGACATTCGCCAAAGAGCTTATATGCATATATGCATAACCCATGGACACAGACAATAGTTTGGTGAAGGCGTGGGGAGGGGGCAGGAATAGGGAGGAGGGGTCAGTGGGAGAAAAAAGGGGGACATTTGTAATACTTTCAACAATAAAGATAAATTTAAAAGAAGAAAATATGGTATATATGTAATGGATATTATTCAGCCTTTAAAAAAAGGAAAGCCTGACATTTGTGGCAACATGGGTGAATCTGAAGGACATTATGTTAAGTGAAATAAGCCAGAGAGAAAGGCAAATACTGTATGGTATCACTTATACTGTGGAGTCTTAAAAAAAAAAAAAAAAAAAGTTGAACTCATAGAAACAGAGTAGAAGGTAGAAAAGTAGTTGCCAGAGGCT